TTTCCATTTAAAGTGGTTATTGATAGGCACACAGTTATTGTCATTTTATTATTCGTATTTATGGTGTTTTTTTTTTTTCATTTATTTCTTAAACTACTACTTTGTTGGCGATGAATTCCTTAAGCTTCTTCCTGTCTGAAAAGCTATGTGTCTCACCTTCCATTTTAACTGACGGCCTTGCTGGGTAGAGTCATCTCGGTTGCAGGTCCTGGCTTTTCATCACTTTGAATATTTCTTGCCGGTCCCTTCCGGCTGCAAAGTTCCTGTCGCGCGATCGGCTGACCGTCCTATGGGGGCTCCCTTGCAGGCAACTATTTTTCTCTTGCTGCAGCTTCGTGCGCCCACCCGGCAATCCCCCCAGCCCCCAATTCCTGTGTGTGTTGCGCCCCTACGAGGGAGTCCCTTCCCGGAGCACAGCCCTGGGAGCAGGACCCTTGACCGCGGTGTCGGCGGCTTCGGTGACAGGAATGTGCTGTCACCATCCTGGAGCCGGACGCCCCCAACCGAGGTGGCGGCCGGGCCCGCGCGTGTCCTCGGCGCTGGCACTGCTCACGGCCCGTCCCTGGCTCGCAGAGGCATCGCCCCGTCTCTGCCCGTTGTCACCCGGAGTGCTCCCCGTGTCCGCCCTCGGCTCACACGGACACCTGTCACGCTGCACGAGGGCCGCCCTGCTGACGTCCCCGAAGACCTCGTTTCCAGATGAAGTCACATCCTCAGGTGCTGGGGGGAAGGTTTCAACATGTCTTTTTGGGGGGCACGGTCCAAGCATAACTGCACCCCGTGCGTGTCGCAAGCTACCTTGGCCTGTTTCCTCCCCATTTTTAGATAGTTTTCCACGATCTAAAAATATGCATTTCGCTGTCCCCAAAGGAGAGCAGCAGCTGCCACAATTAGACTCTCTCCGCCCATCTTCCTAAAAACGGTTCGGAAGGGCGAAGAAAAAACAAGGCCGTTCGCTGCTCGTGTCTGCGAGGCAGAGAAAGGAGAAAATAGGTAAAAATAAAGGACCGGCTGAGGGAAGATGCACCGTCCCGACCACGGCCGACGAGAAAAGGCGTCACGTCTTGAAGAATCTGCCCTTTGCCGTGGCGACAGACGACGGAGCAGCCGATCTGCTAAAGCGGGTTGACCCGCGGACCCCTCTGTGCCCACGGGGTCACCTGCTGTCGCTAGCTCAGGAAAACGCGACATAAATAAATAAACCAGAACAAAGCAGGGGAACCGGCAGCCGTACGAAGTCACAGCAAGAATAAAGCGGAGAACGGGGACGAAAACCTGGGGCGACTCTGGAAAACAGGGCGGCGTTTCCTCAAAAAGTTAAACAGGAAATCACCGCACGACCCGGCACGTTTCCATCGAGGTTCGGAGCCCAGACAAAGGAAAACGCGCGTCCACGGAACGCGCACGGACGCCGCGGGCGAGTGTGAGCCGAGGGCGGGACGGGTCGGTCCCCAACCACCGACGGATGGATGCACAGCACGCGGTCCGTGCACACGCCATGCTCACTCACACACACTCACGTGCATTCACACTCAGCCTCACACTATCACGCATCCACATACACTCACACATTCACACGCATCCACACACGCACATTCACACACACACACTATCACACGCATCCACACACACTCACGCACATTCACACTCAGCCTCACAATCACACACATCCACACATTCACACGCATTCACATTCAGCCTCACACACTATCACACGCATCCACACACTCACACACTCACTCACGCAATTTCACACTCAGCCTCACACACTATTACACGCATCCACACATATCCACACACACACTCACACACTATCACACGCATCCACACATATCCACACACACACTCACACACTATCACACGCATCCACACATTCACACACACTCACGCACATATACACACTCACCCTCACACACTATCACACACTATCACACGCATCCACACACACATTCACACATTCACACACTCACGCACACATCCTCACACACTGTCACACACATCCACACACATTCACACATTCACACACACATCCTCACACACTGTCACACGCAGAACCAAACTCGGGCCCCCAAGGGGATGCACGGGGCCCAGGCTGATACGCTCGGGAGAACACGAAATGATGGCGCTAAAGTGTCGGGGGCCCCGGGCCCATGAGAGGGGATCCCCGGGGGAGGGGCTGGCACAGAGCCCGACCCCCGTCACTCCGCCACTCGACCCTCGCCTTTCGCCCTGGGCCCAGCGGGAGCGTGAACCCTCAGCCCTGAAAACCAGCTCCAGACCCGAGTCCACGCACCCGCCCTGGGCCCCCCTGGCGCTGTGGTTCGGTGAGCCCCCCAGCTTCGGCGGCTGGACAGGGACAGGGCCTGGCGTCCCCGCGCAGCCCTGCCCCGGGGCGCCCACTGGGGCTTCGTGGGGAGACGCCTGGCCCCCCAAAACACCGTCCGCAGCTTTCTGTTCAAGGCATTGCTTTTCTGGGGAACCTGGTTACTGCTTTTCAGAATTCCAGGTGAGAAACTCGGAGAAACACGGCTGCCTTCCTCTCTTCTGTGTCCGAAATCTCGCCGAGCTTGGGGACTCCGTTGTCCCAAGGGCTGTGCCGGCCACGCGGGCACCGAGCTTCTTAGGAGTCGCCACGCGCACGAGGCCCACGGGGCCGTTTCGTGAAGGCCTGTCATGACACGCAGGCTTGCCCTGTGCCGGCTGAGTTGGGGACGAGGTGACTTGCAAGCATGTCCCATTTTCCGGATCCTGGGGACCCATGTCCTGTCCCCGTGTGGGTATCGAGGGAAAGTCGGTCGTGAGCATTTGCTCTAATGGAATCCGGAAAACCCAGCGCTCCGGCCCCTTCCTGCCTCAGCACATGGCGTCCAGGGGCTCTGGGGCCTTCCTGGCCCTCGGAGGCAGCGCCCGGGAGTCTCAGCTCTGGGCGAAGGACGGACCAGCCCTGGGGGCCTGGCGACGGCGGGCGGCGCATGTGCCCCCAAAGGGGCCGGGAAACCCAAACGCTACTTCAAAGGGACACGTGACCCCACGTGTTCAGCGCAGCAGTATTTACAGTAGCCAAGATATGGAGGCCGCCTGGGTGCCCATCGCGGATGATGGATGGATACAGAAGACGCGGCACATGCACACGACGGAACATCACTCGGCCACAAAAAGGATGAAATCTCGCCACCTGCACCAACGTGGATGGACCTGGAGGGTCTCGTGCCGAGTGGAGTGAGTCAGACAGAGAGAGACAAACGCCAGATGATTTCATTACACGTGGAAACTAGACAACAAAATAAACAAACACACGAAAGAGAAATGAACTCGGGTACAGAGGACATTTCGATGGTCGCCAGATGGGAGGGTGTTTGGGGCGGGATGAAGAAGCAGCTACAAGACCGTCACAGGGGACACGGCAGTGCTGATACCTGTGTGGGGTCAGGTGGGCACCGGATCGGTCGGGGTGATCACTTCGTAAGCTGTATAAATGTCTGATCGCTTACGGTGCCCCTGAAACTTAATATTGCACATCGACTGTAATTAAAAGTAAAAAAAAAAAAAAATTTTAAAGACTTTCAGAAGAAGAAAATAAATAAAAATCCCTAACTACAAGCGGGTCCATTTTCTCCATCCACGGAGATTTTGCTTCCCATGAATTGTCATCAGTTTGGCTCAAATAAACGCATTAAAATCCTCGGCAGGTTTGGGCGTTTCTGACTCGACGTTTACTTGGCGCAGCTGGCGAGACCTCGAAGGCCACGAGGACGGCGCTGCTGGCTGGACGCGGAGCAGGTGCCCGCTGAGCCGAGCCCCGCCGGAGTCACGCCAACCGGGGTTCAACTCGGGATCCCGGACCTCCCTGTTCCGAGGCAGAGGCCCCCAGTCTATCTGAGCCGTTTTTAAACATCTCCGAGGTGACATGAAAGGTTCCAGGCTCAGACAGCAAGGGACAGGAGGAGAACACCGGTGGCTTTGACTTTGGCTTTTCGGCCGGAATCACTGAGTCTGAACAGAAGCTTTCGCTGCATAGATGGGAGTCTGGACTCGGTTCGGCGCCGGGGCGAGGGGCGCTCAGCCCCGCAGGCGTTCGTGGGTGACCAAGGCTGCGCGTGGCGGTGTCGAGGTCCCCGCCAACGAGCAGGCCCCCGGGGGACTCCCACACAACTGTCATTAAATAACTGACCCGTCAGGGCACGCGCGCCAAGGCCGCTCGGCCAGCACCCCGAATCCTCACGGTGGTCCCGGATGGGTCCCCGGGCGGCGACAGTCCCTGGAGCTCCGCCCACACGCAGCGCACCTCGCCCACGACACACGCCCGCTCACCTCTGCAGGTCTCAACAGAAAACTCACTGAACCCAGGAAACGGCGTCTGCACAGCCGACACCCCCGGCCACGCGGCCCCATGGACGCGGCTCAGAGGGACCTGGGCCCGGACCGGACCCGCACGAACGTTCGGAAGCGGGGAGGGGACCGGGAGGGGCGCCACGTGAGGGGCCGCCGGGGCTCGCTCGCACCCAAACGCCTCCCCGGTGTGCACCCCAAAAAGCCGGCTCCGAAACCTGGCGGCTTGAGTGTCGCCGCCACCGGCCAACAGCAGCCTCTGAGCCGGGGCTCGGGGACGCCCGTCTCTCCCGGACACCAACGAGAACATCGCGGGGCTTCCAGCTGCCCAGGCCAGGCCTGCTGTCCCCTGTGCTAGGCGACCTAACTGAGCCCCCGTCCGCTTCTCTCCTCCACCGCTGCCCCCTGCTCACGTAGGGGACACTGAGGACAGAAACCCAGACCAGGGCAGACTAGAGACAGACAGATTCTGGCAGCTCCCTTTGGAGTAACGGCACAGGGGACCGGCGACGACACGGCCCTCAGACCGGCCCAGAACTCAGGGACCCGTTCCCGGCTCCTGCCACCGCCCCCCTCCCCGCCCCGGGCCCCCCCGATGGGCTGGCAGAGGGTCCTGACATCACTGTCGGAACACGTGATCCCGGCTGTTCCGACTGACCCGATGAACTCACCTCCTGGTGTCTGGGCAAAGCAGCGGGATCACCAGCAAGCTTTGCCGGGGACCGGAGAGGGGTCGGCTTGTGTGGGGGACAGCCAGGTCACCTTAGGGACTGCAGAAGCCAAAAATGGCATTTCAGAAAGGAAAAGGCGCAGAAGCCAGCACGGGGCTGCTGGGAGGGCCATGAGCACAGTGTCCTCACTGACGCTCAGGAAACACTGATGTTCCCGTTGGGGGAGATGCTCGCAGGTACTGGGGCGACCTCATCTGTCCCTGACCCCACCAACCAGGTCCCCGTCCCCGGACCAGGCTTCCGCACACAGGGCGGGGACTTCGGATCCACCGACCGTTTTCAGGTCTGACCCCGTCCCCTCCCGTGCAGGGCACGTTCAGGGAGACAGATTTTCACCAGTCAGATCTGCCCCAATGCACTGAGTGGGGTGAGACTTCCTTGCACCCAGCGACGCCCACGGATCCTTCTCCCAGGGGGCGAAATGCACGGACAACTACACGAATCAGACACCGACCCTCCGTGCGCCCCATAATTCTCCCGCCCTTCCGGCAGAGCCCCGGGGGGAGGATGGGGATCTGCCCAGAATCTCAGAGCGATGAATCAACTCACCCTACGGTTCCGAATCCACGTGTCCTGCTGTGAGTCACGCTCGTGGCCGCCCGTGTTGCTCAGGGACAGATTCCCGTGAGCCCTTTTCGGCAAAAAAAGTCAAAAATGCTTCTGCTTCCGCCCGGGACAACGGTGGGTCTGCTGGACGGGAACGCCCCAGGGACCCACGGAGAGTCCCCGCGATTCCCCGCAGAGACTGACGGCCGACTGGATGATGCCCAACTTCCCGGAGACTCCGCTCTGGTCCGGGCCGTGGATGATTCGCCCTCACGCTCCAGGAAACGTTACGCTCCCGAGAGGACACAACTTACCTGTGACCGCGGTTAGCCACAAAGGACGCAGGGTCTCAGAGGACAAGCTCTGGTTCTGTATCGAAGACGGGCCACTAACTAACCCGAAGGACTGCGGAATCGAACGCTTTCCTCTTCCAAAAAGAAAGGGACGAACAGCTCAGAGGGTCCTGGGGCCTGATAGGTGACTGTCACGATCGCGTTCCAAACTGTACGTTGACGGCGCGGCCTCCACGCGTCTGACCACGAGCAGATCGACCTGGGCCAGAGCAATGAAACCTGGAGGGCTCTGGGGCGGGGACCGTCGGGAGCCTGGGGACCGCCTGGGACGCCCGCATCATCGACCCAGGGAACCAGGAAACGCTTTAGGAGTTTTCATTCGGAAGCACAGAGATTGTCACTGGACGTCACGGCCAGCCGTGACTCAGCACCGGCGTTTCCTGCGTGACGGCCACCTCTGCCCCAGCTGCGCCACGTGAACAAACGTCGGAGGTGGCCGTGGGCTCTTCTGCCTGTTCCTCATTCTGGCGAAGCCCCCGTCACCCGCCCGGCTCCCCAGGAGGCGCCCCGCGCCCCGCACCCAGTGGCTCACGGGCAGCGCCTTCGGGAACGCAGACTTAATCCGGATCCAGATCAGTGGGTCTTATCTAGAAACGAACGTTCCCGAGCTGGACATGCGGTAACGTCCGTCCGTGGCGGACATAACGTAGGTGCTGTCACCTGAAGAAGACCTGCCCGGCGAGCTGAGCCAATGGCTCTCACTGGAGCGTGTTATCGGCCCGAGACCAAGCAGCCAGTATCCACGGCGACAGGCGCCACGCTGTCCGTGTGGCTCGCGACCGTCCATCACGGAAGCAACGAGGCCCCTGAGCTCCCTCGGGGCGGCCCCCAAAAGATGGGGAACAGGCCGCAGTACTATTAGAGCCACACGGCCACCGAAATAACTGGCAGTTGTCAAAACTCCAGGACATTCTAAAGCCACCACCACGGAAGCAAAACGCAGTGACGGCTGGAGCCGCAGCTGGACAGGCAGCACGCACGTGACCCCGGACACCACGCCACGGGGCCCAAGCGCTACCAGTGCAGAGCGGGTGCGTGGCCTGTCCCGCGCGTGACCCCGGACACCACGCCACGGGGCCCAAGCGCGTTGCCACGTCCTTCAGGTCCGTCTGCGGCGTATGACCGGCTCTTATCCGAATGCCACCATCTCGGGGACACAAATACGCGCTGGCTGCGGTTTCTGCGTGTTCTCACTGGGCTGAGGCGTTTGTCCCCTCGCGGGCAGCCACGGCCCTGACGGCAGGGACGTTACTATCAGGAAGAAAGAATCTGCAGCTGGGGAATTCTGAGTCACACGGTGACGGAGGGACTCGTTTCACTGGGCAGACGAAGGGACCCAGCTGCAACACGTGGCCTGTTCCGTAGCACGTCCCCTGTGCTTATGGGCCCTGTCCCCTGGGTGGAGGGACACGTGCCCCAGCCTCACTGGGAGACGAACCGTCAGGACCGCGACGCAGAGCCAGGCGGGTCGGCCACCGGAAGAGGCGGCACTCAGACGGGCTCCAGCCCGCGGGGACGGCCTCGGGGACGTCGGGGACTCTGCGAGGGTGACAAGCCGCCGCCGCCAGGGGCAGGCAGCCGTCTGAAGACATCCAGGAGGCCTGGTCTCCCCCGGATGGGCGCCGAAGTCGAACAGTGTCTTCACCCGTCTGCGAGTTAACATGGGCCGTGACGAGTCACATGTGCTCTTTGCCTTTTCTCAAACGCTGTTCTTACAGAGCCCGCGCCGGTGGCCGCCGAAGGAGCCTGAGAGAATTCTGTGTCCTCGATGCTTTTTCTGGTTTCTTTGGAATTCGGAGGATGCCATCGCAGAAGGGAAGGGACGTGCTTTAGAGAGGCGACGTGGCAGCGCTTTGTCCTGAGGCGGGTCATTCCTGAAAAGGAGACAAACGGAGGACAAGGGACAGCGTCAGCGCGAAGGACACTGTGCGACGCGCTGGACTCGGCACGGGCCGCGGCCCCGGAGCCCGAGGACCACTGGCTGTTTCACTCAGGTGGCGGCTGCAGCGCCCGCGGCCACCGGCCCTCGCGGAGGCCGCTGAGGCGCAGGGCCACGCACGACACTCACCGTCCTGTGGCCACCACGCTTTTCCACGGAACTGTGGTTCATGCCACTGTGCTCTTGCGGCCTGGGACCTGACTAAAGTGTCACCTTACTAAAGTGGCACCTTACCGTGCTCGATTGCGCAGCCAGCAGGAAGCAGATTAAAAATGGAGGGGCCTGGAGGGTGTCCCGTGGGAGGCGGACGGGCCACCTCCCCCAGAGGGCGGGAACTCGTCCCGCGGTCAGGCTGTGGAAACGTGGGGTGTCCCCTCGAACCGTAAGTAACTGGGACCCTAGACGTCGCCTGCAGGTCAGAAGGGAACCGGTCTCCTTCCCAGAGGCCGTGACCCCCGACCGCCTCCCACCTCCCCGCCTTTCCCTTGAGGAAACGCCGGCCGTGGCGTCCACCCGAGGTTGTATGTGTCACGTCCCCAGCGGCTCCCACTGTTCAACGATGCCACCAGACTGCCTCGGAACCAGCCCTCCCGGCCCCGGGGGACGTTACCCAAGCCCCCTCAGGGCTGACTTCTGACCAAAAGCGGGGTGTGCATGACGGGGGGACACATGCTGCCCGACGAGCTCGGGGCCCGCCTGATGGCCCCACAAACCCAGACTCCGAGAGTCACCACGTGGGATCATCTGCACGTAAAAATCCCCAGCTGAAAGCAGGCCCCGGGCCTGTCACGTCCTGGGTGACAGCTTCCTCTGACAGGTCAGTCTTGACGCTGAGCTGCCTGGGTCGTCTGCCTCTGAGACCCCGGGGAGGTCAGCGCCGTCCCCTTGTCGCGGCCCCGCAGGGCGCCAGCTCCCGCTGGCTCGGTTTCCTTTCTTCTTCCCAGCAGTTGTCATCGGC